GCTGGATTAGCGCTAACACTGTGTTAAAATTTAACCTGCTGTTTTAGTTTATGTATTTCTGGACATTTATTTGTTTCAAAACTTCAGAGAAGAAAACTCTCATTTGTCCAGACAAGATTTCCGAAGAAATATTTCCAAGTTTATAACCAAGCTGTTGGGAAGTTTGCTTTGAATTTTAGGTTAACTTAGGATTAAGCTAATTGGCTTTTGGACAACCGGCCCCAGATATCAGAGATATGCTGATTCTTATCATGCAAGAAAATTAAACTGCAACTCTAATTCTATTTGTTTCATAAGCACTACAGTATTTCTATGTTTTTCCCCAGGCGATACTAGGTGTCATTGACCGCAATGGTGTGGGAAGTATTGGTATTGACTATCAAGAAAATGATACTCTGGATATCTTAGTTGAAAATCAGGGTCATATCAATTTCATGTTATTGAACGACCCTAAAGGAATCATACAGAATGTTACATTACATGGCGTTATTTTAACCAATTGGACAATATTCCCCCTCAGTCTTGACCCTGATGACGTAGCAATGATACTTAATATATCAAACGTTCTCGGCACGCCATCGGACCCTTCCGAACCAGTATCGTTTTATGTCGGTAGTATACCCGCAATGCCTGATGGGAAACCACCGCTTGATACATTTCTGTATTTAAAGAATTGGTCCAAGGTTAGTTGAATAAGACGATTGAGATCATGAAGTACAAGGTTAAAAGATGAACAGTTGATTTGTATAGTATAATATAAGGATAATAGCCTTAGGATATTATGTTTTCACCTCGGTTTGTTTGTATGTGTGTTTTTTTACCTCCGTCAGGAGGTTATGTTTTCATCTGGGATAGTTTATGTTTGTTTGCTTGCTTGCTTGCTTGCTTGCTTGCTTGCTTGCTTGCTTGCTTGCTTGCTTGCTTGCTTGCTTGCTTGTTTGTTTGTTTGTTTGTTTGTTTGTTTGTTTGTTTGTTTGTTTGTTTGTTTGTTTGTTTGTTTGTTTGTTTGTTTGTTTGTTTGTTTGTTTGTTTGTTTGTTTGTTTGTTTGTTTGTTTGTTTGTTTGTTTGTTTGTTAGCAGGATAACTCAAAACTATCGAATAAAACGTTTTATACGAAAGTTTGCTGGAGGTATGCAGAGAAGTCTCTCGAACGGTCGTGGTGCCAGGATAGGTATAGATATAACAGACGGCTGCGTGTGAAGGAGATACAATTTTCCAGATAGAAAACGAAGATTTGTTATACCTTAAATATGTGCCATATGATAAGACTAAATTGGCTCTTTTTAAAATACAGTAGTTGACTAGTTGTCTGGACTATATATGATATTTGTGAAAAATCTTTGTCCATTATTTCGAACCCTTTCCAATGTAAGACATTGAAGAGATGAATTAATAAAAGTGATAAAGACAACATTATTAAATAAAGTACCTTTTATTTAAGTTAAATAAGTTTCTTTTTCTTTTATTTTAAGGGTCAAGCATTTGTAAACAGATTTAACGTTGGACGATACTGGCCAGCAAGGGGACCGCAACAAACGTTATATGTTCCTGCCAATTCACTGAATGGAAATCCAGATTTTAACAACACGATTCTTCTATTTGAAATTGACGCAGCACCGTGTTTTATCTCTGAATATTGTTATGTTGAATTTATTAAGAATCCGATGCTGGGGATCACCGAAAATTAAAGCGCGAAAAATAGCAATAAATTATTCCAATAAACTGTAAAATAATTATGAGCGAAAACACGGCAAAATATTTTTGAGATTTATGTACGTTCCAAGATAATATTGTGTATATAAATTGATTTGTCTTTAATTAAGCCACAAATATAATCTGTGCAGGCAAAACTACAATTTCTGACAAACGAAATGCAGCTTTGCTGAAATTATATATAGTTCACATTAATATACAAATGTGTTCTCATATAGGCCTATTAAGTATAGCATGGTTTATACTTCTACAATATAGTATTGTGGAAAGGTAACAGGGGGAGGGTAGAGATGGAATAAAGGCTGGGACCCACTGTACGTTTTCTAATGATTATGTTTGGTCATCAGCCCACAATGAAATCATTACATTTCAAAAGCTGGAAAGCGAGATTTCTGAGGCTCAAAAAGATCCGACCAAAAATAAATGGTCCCAGCAAGCCCTATGAAAAAGTTAATAAATTATTTAATTTACATCATCAAAAATGGCACAATGACGATTGATCATTATATTTTAAAGAATCTATAAAACTTTACCTTCAAATAATGAATAGGGAGTATCTGGTGTTCGACAGTTATGTTCACCATAAGAAAATGTCCACTCAGCAAACTATACAAATATTGAATCACAATTAAATGCAATTAAAAAGTTGTTTAATATTTTAACAATTATTCTCCAAACAACCATGGACTATGAAATAGAACAGAACAGAACAAATTAAATTAAATAATACTAGACAGAATAATGGATGGGTTAATAACTCAGGGGTAACGTTAATTCCCATATATACATAGGCCACTCTCCTGACAATCATCAAGTCGACAGAAGTGTCTTATTAATTGGAAATACCCCAAAACAATTAGGAGACACGACATGATTAGTGCATGAACGAAGGAGTTAGTGAACCAGTAAAATTTGTTGTAGAACACCGAACTTCAAGTTAGTGATTCATATTGTAATAAGCAGTCCAGAAACTGATCTTAAATGTGATTGGTGGAGGATTATTTGTAAATAAAAAAAGAAAAGAAAGAAGCTTTATATTTAACAAAACATTGTGAAACTGATCTAGACCATTAGAAATTCTTTATCAAAGATTCATTTACCTTAAATGCTCGATGCAGATCAACTTGATCGCCAGTTTGTTTATATAAAGCTAAGAAAGTATAAGCATTGCCAGAAACACCATGACATATACCATAACCCTTTCTTAATAAGCCTCGTTTCCAAACAACATTACCACATGATATAGCAACATCCAGATATCTCCTCTCTTCAAACACCTATACAGATTAGGTATAGATTTGGTTAATGTCTCGTAAATGATTTATTATTCATTTGTCCCTGATACCGGATTCAATTCAATTTATGTTTTCCAATCAAGGAACAGTTCTCGGATGCCATATAGTATACTCTGCAAGCTTCACAAATCAAATATCTTTGTAAAACTAACCTAAATGTACCATTATAAAAGTTAGATACAAATTGCAAAGTAAGTTGAGTCGTAGTTTGGAACTTAAAAAACGTTTCCCAGGGTATATAAATCCAAACCCATCACAGGGGAAATGGTCTGTGTTTTATTCGCCATGACCGTCCATGCTGCATGGTTAGAGGATTCTAAATGACATGTTGGCGTGCTCTTTCATTGGTGATAGAGTATGTAGTAAAATCAGGTGTATATACATACTGTAAATCCAAAGTCCTGCAAACTTTATACTTGACCTTAGACAACGTAAAAGTATAATCTACGGAATAACTATACAGTAAGCAAATATACGGCATTAACTATAGAACTGAGTGAGACTACATGGAATGCTAACTATGATAACCTGATAAGCTTTTAGCATCAAAAATACAGCTCCTGGAGCGCCATGGCACCAGTGAATCAGCCTGTCAGATTCATTCTCTAAGGATGATGGGAAATTTCCTGATGAGAACTGTTTGGTGAGAAGATAGTCGATAGTGTTCTGAATCTCGGTTATATGTTGAGTTACCACAGGACTACTTGGGTAAACCTGCAAACAAATTTAATTTCTAAAGGTTCAATGTTGAGTTACCATTAAAAACTTATATCTAAAATTAATTACAGTATTGTACTGATATACTTATTCGAAATTCTTAAATCTTAAACATTGAGTGCGCAAGGTATTTACTTTGCAATAATGTTAGGACATATATACTGAACACTTTTAATGTCCAGTGTTAGGCTTCAAATAAGCAATATCCATCATACCTTGCGCGCTCAATGTTGAGGGTTTAAGTTTTTTGAATGACAATATATACTAAAACTGTCTGTACCAGTGTAGGTAGTACCAATGTGAAAATGCTGTGCTGAGTGGTTATATTACTACCTTAAAAAATAAGCAGAAACTCGACGTTTCGAGCGAAGGCCCTTCGTCAAGAAGGATAGTTTACATAGCAAATCTACAAAGCCACATATATTTACGCAGATTATTTACTTATTTAACTTTGCCAAGTAACATGCAACCTTTAACAGTAGTGATTTACAACAACATATAATATGTGCTCCATTGGCAGGGTGCACGCAACAGTTTTCACCAATTACAGCGGCCCCATGAACTATGGTAATACTATACAACAACACAAATCTAATAACAAAATTAGATACTTATAAAAAGAAATTACTCACTTGTAGTAACATATACAATATTCCAACAATACCATGAGCTGCTCCAACATAATGTTTATCATGCCAAACATACATTAATGCACTTCGACTACGCTCTTTCCGCGAGAGAGAAAGTCCAGATTTTAATATGGCTGTAACAACCTGTATAGTTATAAAGTATATGAAACATGTCCCGAGTCAACAACAACAGAAAAAGAAAGGGAACTGGATAACATGATTAACTAATGGCGACGAAATTCGTAAAGAAAAACCAATCTTATTTATGTTTTCAATTAATGTTCACGATCAAGTCAAAAAAGCTCAACCTCGTTCCCAGGTTGGTGTTTAATATAAACTATCAATATTTTTTAATAAAATCAGTAGCATATAAACAGTCTATAAACAGTTTTAGAATGAATAAAATGGACATTCAATGTCATTTGAGTATTTGGCTAGTGTCAAATGTGTAACCTTTGCCGAAATATCTCAAAGGCGCCACGACCTATAAACATGCAGTCGCTCTTGAGACCTGTTGAAATTAACAAGTAAATAAATGCAAAGTTTACTATATACCGTTTCCAGATAACAACAATTTAGTGACATATTATAAGATTGTAAATATGTGAACCAAAGGCAGAGTAGAACGTGTGAAATGAAAGTGCCTTTAAGTGCGCCCAAGCGGCAAACCCCGAGAGAACATAAGAACAATAGAGCATACAATAGAGCATATGATCATACGTTTATATTGCTTGATTTCCTGACTTGTTGCTATAAAAATCTGTTTAGCATATTTTTATAATTTAAGAGCAAACAGAAATCAAACTTAGCAAGTATTTTGACGTGTATGTGATTCTCAAAGTTGACTGTACAGAACCGCAGAACACTCACTCGAAGATCGAAGTGTAAAGTGCGGAAGTGGAAGCATGTAATATGATACTTTTTCCACACACCCTTAGGCAATCAATTTTCTGGGAGCCACGTGACCAGCTATTACCAAGGTCTTTCCTCCTAAAGAGGGAAGAGCCTGGGAACGAGGTTTAAAAAAGCTTTGTTGTATCTCTAAACCTCATTCTCGTACCCAGAGCCCTTCTTACGCGCGGTGCAACGAGGGGCTCTGGCCAAATCCATAACCGGATACCATAAAAACATGGTAATAGAATATATCCGGTATTAGAACAATAACCTTCGTTGTAGCCAATCAGATGCCAGTTTGATATGGATTTGGCCAGAGCCCCTCGTCGCGCTTAGTTGACCGCGCATTAATGTACCTGAGAATTAGGTCTATATTAATATAGACCTAATTAATTTGCCTTTCTATTCATGGTTTGCATTCACTTGACGTCATGGTTGTCATGTTGGAGGAACGTGTTTTCCTCCAACATGGCCGCCATATCTTTGTCTTATTACGCTTGTATTCTAAAAGCTCACTCACACTAAAAGAGTGGAGGTTCAATCAGAGTTTCCCTTGAGTGTCAGTGCTGTTTTTGAACAGCTGGAGGGTTAGTGTCGTACCTTACTATGGAACTACTCACCCTCCAGCTATTCAAAGACAACAATGACACTCAAAGGAAGGCGGGAAGCTCAGATTAAACCTCGACTCTTTGAGTGTGAGTGAGTTTTTAGAATACAGAATTAGTCAGGAATTATTAATGGCTAATGTGAATCAATGTGAATTCATTCACTATACTCACCTGTTCGATAATGGCATCAGAAACCTTTTCTTTTCCCAAGTGAGTTTGAATAAACAAGAGAGAGTACAAGAAACCAGCTCTTCCGTACAATATCTCATCTGGTAGTGACGGATCTGATACGACGCTTTCACACATTGCACAAAGTTTTTCAACACATTTTTCACATTTCTTCATATCTCCATGTTTTGAGTACAATACAGCTGATAGAGCGTATACACCTGAACAAAATATTGCTACAACTCAGCTTAATGTTTGATGAGAGTTAATTGTGAAACATACACTACATACAAGCAGTTATACACGCAGTCAGTACTTTAGTTTTCCATATTAACAATTGTCCTGGATTTACCAGTTTTTATATTGGTAACTGAACTATTTGAAAATTAAAAAACCCACAGTTCGAGTAAAAAGCAAGCTAACCTTCTGGCAAATGGTATTTTGCTAGAATCCTTGAAGTATTTACAATCTTTTCAGGTAATAGACCTTACCGTTTATTCACTTTTCACCCAATGGCCTCGTTTTCGTGTCAAATACTTACTCATGTTTTGTACTTAGTAGAGTTGAAAATTACTTTTTTATTGAGCCTAAGAACAGCAAGAAACAAATTCGTCCAGGAAAACATGGGAATATAATCTTTATCTGCCTCTGACATGCTAAAATAAGTTAACATGGAAACGAGGCAATTGGGTAAAAGAGAATAATCGGTAAGGTCTATTCAAACCCATGCACACAAAGGGAGCTTAATTAATAGACCTTTCTTATAATGACGTCAAACGCGGAATACATTTCTTAAAAATTTTACATTTCACAATTTGCATTGCGATTTGTCGCTAAAAATTGTCCCTTGCTTGCATGGGACATCGCATTTGGTTTTTCCGCGTTTGACGTCATTATAAAAAAGGTCTATTGTAGTACGTTGTTGGCCCATTTGCGTTGAGGCCAGGCTGCGATTGGATCATAGTATTATTTATAATAGATGTTTACGTGAGGCCACCCCCAGGGACGGAAAATTGCTCAGACCTGCATGTCTGCCCAACCCGCTCGTTGGACCGGGAGGAATTCGGAGCGGGATGAATGCAAACACATGCAACGCATTTCAAACCGGTCTATTTGCTGTCCTCTTGGCTCCGAAACAATGCATGTTCACAAAAGCACTTTAAAAAAAGTGGCGGGCAAGGGGAATAAACTGAAAAATTTGTGATTTTCGTACCAGTCTCATGTGAACATACTGAAAATTTCGATTTTCGTCCCGGTCTCGTGGAACTACCTCTTTGTATCTATATACCGCATTTTCTTTGCGTTTTTGTTAAATGGGAGTACCAACCTCGTTCCCAGGCTCTTCCCTCTTGTTGAGAGGGAAGAGCCTGGGAACGAGGTTGATGGGAGTACCTGCATCGCCACAAAGAAAGGTCAGGCGCTTTCCTTTCACCTTGTCCAAATTACTTTCCAAAACGTCTAATGCTTTGGACAACAGTTGCTGTTGTTCACTTGTATTCTGACAGAATGTCGTTGATGACAGATGGTAGTAGAGTAGAGCTATACCTGCATGATAGAGAAAACATAAAAGTGACGTCTTGTAGTATTAGTTTTGGTCCTGGGCTTTCAAGAATTTTCTTTCCCCCTTTTTGTTTTATATTTATAGAAATATTCACACATAGAAGCTCACTGACCAGTAGTGGATCAGAAGTCGGGAAATCACGTTGGTATATTTTTGAAGCCGATACATCAAGTCGACTATGTCTATTGTCTCTGGTCTATTGTTAACTGACGAATACAGCCAGTTGAGAGGAAAATAGTATTTACTAAATCCCATATTTTTTCTTAAGACATCAGGTAGCTATATATATAAGTATCAGACCTTCCCTTATATATTTGTGAATGAATACACTCAATCACATAGACGAGGAATAGAAAATCGGAAACAACAAATCGCCCATGCATGCAAGTGAACGGACCTTTCCAAATACATTGTGTCTAATGATTGACCATATGAATATACGCAACTGATATTTTTAGTCTCATTATGAATTGTGTAGATTCTATAACGCCTAATTAAATTTCCAAGGCATTCATTTGACTTTGTTTTCAATAACAGTAGGATTAATACAATAATAAAAAGGATTGAATAAATTAAAATGCCTCTGTTCTAAACAGAATTGATTTTAATTACAAGCATTCCAAGTTTCCAAGTTAAAAAAAAACAATACTACGAAAAACTTAAAAAAGCGTTGTCCACACCACTTTCCTAAAATGTCTCATTCTATGAACGTAATCGCATAGTTTGTGAGGGGGACAGAATACGCGAGGGGGACACAATCCTCCAGCGGATACTATCCGGGAGAACACAATTTGGGAGGGGGGGGGCGGAATCCGTTGTGACACCGCATGAACTGCATATTGCATGTGAAAAGGGTGCTCTACTGTTAGTAGATTTTATCTACGAGTAACACCAAATGAATTAGGATGGCCCTTATACTGTGCATCTACAGTTTGGTTCTGATGGAGTTATCCAGTCCAAGTCAAATTTTTCATAAACACTAACACAAACCTACCAGATGATCCTGTATACACGGAATAATTATTGGGATCAGTTTCTTTCAATCCATTTTCTAATCGTTGTAAATATTTCTCAATATTCTCCTTTAGCAAACCACGCCACGGCTGGGAAACCTGTGAAAAATGACGTCTGCATAAAATTACTTATTATTATATAAAGTATAGTGCTTTAGCCTTTATAGAGATTTCGAGCACTGATAAAAGTGATAATCTCACATGTGAGATTATTCATGATAATCTCACATGTGAAAATTATCGCTTTTCAATTATCGCTTTTCTGTAACAATTATCGCTTTTCAAAGACTGTCCTTTATATAATAAACAGAAAAATACATGGGTGCTTGGAAATACCAGATTCATTTCTCGTGTTGAACATGATATCGATCATGTTCAACACTCGAAATAAATCTGGTATTTCCGCGCACCCATGTATTATTCTCTATTTAATACAGTTTTATGGTTTAAATGGTTACGACCATCACCATTAACATCATTAATATTACTAAACCTAACTCCGCTTTCGTTTTGTTTAAATTAAACCATTTCTAAAAACATATTAAATAATTTCTTTCATTCTGTCAGCAATCTTTTAAGTGACAGGGGCGGATCTCATTTGTTAGAGGAGGTGGAGGTTTTCCAGAGAGGGCGGTGCATTACTACGAGGATCCCCCCCCCCCCGGAAAATGCTTGAAACTTGAAGCCCTGAAATGCCCGTTTCTGCATTCAGAGCACTACATTTGTTTGTTAAATTTTTCCTCACGGTACTTGTATTTCAGGCAAAAATTAGGAAAAGTACAACTCAAAAAGCGGGAAATCTAAACTTAATATATGCAATACTAGAGTTTTCTTTAAGGGGTGCTCGACAAATAAAGGAGAGGTGCGCCCCCCCCCCCTCCTGCACCTCACCGGTAGATCCGCCTCTGTTAAATTATAGCGTCAATCACTCAGTTGTGAGCAGCTACAGTGTAGTTAAGATTTATGATGTTAAGATTTATAATACAATTACAATAAAAGTACTAGCTAGGGATATCGCAACAGTTACCCCAATTACTGCGGTCCCGTATATTAACATGAAATATAGATACAAATGTTAGATACACAATTTAAATTGTGTAAAAAGAGACCCAACCCCGCAAGCCAGGGTCTTTACTTCCGCACGGCGCTACAGCAATCTACAGCTATCTTTGCTATAGCGCCGTGCGGAAGTAAAGACCCTGGCTTGTGAGGTTGATGCATAATCCACAATCTATTAGTCCAACATAACTTATCTTCAAGGCAATTAGCCTTTCTCACGAAAGCCAAAATCCGCCATTTTTGGGGTACTGTCTGCCCTCGTGAAAGATTCTAGACAATTCAAAAGTTTCTAGACATACTAAAAAGTCGCATTTCGTGGCGGAGACTCTCAAAGGTGGGAGAGGCAGTACCCCCAAAATGGCGAAAAAAAACGGCCGTGAGAAAGGCTAATTGACTTTTTTAAAAGTTTCGTTTCAATTCTTTCGCAATCCTTGGTAAATCTTTCTCATGAAAACTTCGTTGGGTGATAACTTTGTATCAACTTGTTATAGCGTCTTAGATAGTACAGTACTGGTCCGTGTTTAAAAGAGCTAAAAATATGATCTTTTTTCACTTTGGTTCATCTCCTGATAAAATGCTGTTCTTGCAAAGGGGACAATTAAACTTATATGTCAATCATCATTAAATGAAGTATGAGTTTTCTTAAAAGAACAACAAGAAGACGCACGCCGTGTGAAGTCGACATCTTGCTACAGATTATCTTACAGGGCATGACCATTATTAAATCCAGATATTCGATCGTGCAAGTAGGTACGTAATAGGCATTAAAGGTTGATCTTGTTTAACCTGATGGATAGAGGATGTCATACAATATGTAACCAAAGTTTAAGATAAACTCTTTTGAACCTTCACCACAGAATAGAGACTATACAGAAGCCCAACTTCTTGGTTTTTCCTATGATTATTATTACTGGCACATCATTTGCAAGTTTGACAGTCAAAGTACTTGATAATGTACCCTTGGGGTCAAGGCTGGGCCAGAACGCAGTTTGATTCTTTTGGACCATGGAGAAAATGCGCTCTTCTTGGGCATTGGAATGTGGAATTATGAGCACTAGCATTCCTATCTTGGCCGGAAAGCCTAGGAAACTAGGAAAGTGAGTGGTGTGATCAGGTCATCAGGAGCCTTAATCGATTCAAATCGATGAAATATAATGCCAAATAACATCCATTCTGTGGTAGCCCGTCTCGTCAATAGTGTCAACTTTAACTGTGCCTTTTTCCAATATCTGTTTTGGTATGTCATCCTCACGGAGTAGTTGAAACTCAACAAATTCTTCAGATAACTTAATTTTATCCATTTCTTGAGGGGATTGTAATTGTAATAGAAGCTAAAATATATAGAAGTGAAAAGAAAAAAAAATAAGCGGAGTCAGAGTCAATACCTAGTATTAAGCCTTAACCTAATTAAGACTGCAGCTTTTCAGTAGTGCGTTTGAATCGGCACCTGTACAGTACACATTCTATAATAAAAATATCAAATTTTGCAGAAGGGTTTAAACTTTTTCAAGCGTATGTACGAAAAAGCATGAGAAATAGCTTTTAAAAACGCTGTGCACATAACTAGTTCTGTATCTGTAGTAGTTTATACCAAGCTCTCTGGCTTTGTGTATAGTTTATAAATATACCTGCTTCCTTAAAGTTAAGAGTACTGAAGTCTCCATTTGCCTGTTTAATAGCTTGCAACAGTAAGAAATTTGCTGGCAAGCTTCTGTAAAAACATCGTTGTTTGCTCCTGCATGAACGGTCGGAATTATAGGGTTTTCTCTTTGTAAAAACATGTTGAAGTGGATAAATGGTTGAAGGGCTGACTGATAAAACAGAAGATAAACTTCCATCATGGGATCTTCAAATATGGAATGCAATCTCCTGAACCTTTGTTTTTTTTCCATCTACAACATATTAGATGGGTAATCTACCTGTATAACAATTAAGCAATTAAGTGGACAATATCACACCATTAGATAAAAAGTAACTCTTCAGGCCAGGATATATTGTTGCAGCACCCGAGAAACAGTTCGTTCTAGACTCAGCCACCTGGTATTTACATGTTTTCACTGATTTTCGACAGTCTACAGCACAAAAAGAGTAGAATTCTGTCAGAGAAGCTTTTCGTTTTGTGCTCTTGTCAAACCAGTAGTAGATATTGATAACCGTATCTTCAACATTAAATCTAGATGTCTGCAAAGAATAATAAAAGTTTGCTTGTAATTACAACATATATACTAAATATCAGCGCAATGAGATTATTTCCTGCTACAAGCAGTTTCGAAAAAGAGCATATGCATACTTACTTCCTCAAAAGCGTTGGCTACTTTTAAAGCTGTATTGTGCACAACGTGACAGGGACAACCCACAATATAGATCGCTGGGTTCATATCCAAAACTCGAGACTTGATGGAATTTCTGCAACCCATATTGACAGAGGTGTTGTCCACTCCAAAACTGACACAGTTATTCCATGGAATTTCATGTGTTGTGAAAGCATCCTGCATTTTTGAAAATATTCATATGTAGTACAGAGAAACTCTATTCCTTATAGTTTGTGTCTTGGCAGTCTTGCACACTTTTATGTTTGTACTATGTTCTAATTTTGTAACATGAGTAATTTTTTGCATTACATTGATCAGTCATTATTTTAATAGCATTATTAGTTGCTGCGTAATATCTGCACCTTGGATGCTATAATCAGATAGCATTTACACACAGCAATTCAGCAAATAGGCTCAATTTACGGCATCAAATAAGGTGTTGACACTGATAATAAACACCTAACCCACTCTATTCACAAGTTAGATTAATTTACTGACTAATTTCATAGTGTAAAATAGAAAAACTAAATGTTAAAGCATTTCACAGGTTTCTAAAGTTTACAAGTCACTCTCCAAATTTACATTTTTTTTTATTAATTAACTCTGCAATTGATGAGTCGCAAAGCGGCCAGAGCAGCTCTATACTGCGCCTGTGAGAAAATATGTCGAGGCGTTCGTCACACACGTAGGTATGTTTGAGCATGTTAGGGTGCGGTGGTGTGTGATAATTTTTTCCTTCCAAATGCACTTGGCACTTATGCACCTATCAATGTTAACCCCGAGGGGGGGGGCAAAGGGGGGGGGGGATTTGATCAATCAGGTGGTCCCATGGGTCGGGATTTGGACTGACACTTTTTTTCTAAGTGGCCTGAGGGTGGGGATGTTTGACAGATTAACACTGATCTCAGACGATATACTGAAGAAACCTGAGCCAATTTTAGAACAAACTCTGACTCGTCCCCAGCGTTGTAGCTGTCAACGCCTATCCCGCGAACGGGCATATCCTCCCGCACTAAAAGGTAACGAGGGACTGTGGAAGAGTCAGGAACAAACTGAAGACTGGGCACTAGATTATCGCTCGCTGTCTCGCGCGTTGTTTTTACAAGAAATATGGAAATTTCTGGACAAGAAATAAACACTTAAAAGCCATTTTATAATTATATTAATATCGATTTATACTTGTATATTAAAAGTTCACGTTATGTACTATTTAAAACACGAGTAGGAGTGTGTTTTATCAGATATAAAACGTGAGGCGCACAACTTAAAATACGAGTACAAAAGAATACTAATTAGGGCGAACAATTATATTAGAATACTGACAATATAATTATATAAGAATACTGTGTTTTATTAGCCTGTGTTCCAGTCCACTACACCATGGTGTGGCGCAAGGTATATAAATTATTAATGAGTATTTTAAGTTATTTTGAAACGTTCTTTATGTTTGTTATACTTTTAAATTATACCGCCAAATGTATTTGTGTAATTTCCCTATCACCTGACATATAGAGTGCACCAGAAACCAAATACTTCAGTAATACAATTTCATCCCGGGGGTGGGGAATTTTGTCCAGGAATTTTCTCCCGAGGGAGTGGCATTTGACATTTTTTTTTGTAAAAATGTCAAATCCCCACCCCTTGCCCGACCCCCCCTCCCTCGGGATTAACATTGATAGGTGCATAATGGCGCAATAAGAATAAAAATACCACCGTTCGATTCAGCGTAGGAATTGTAATTACGGATGTCAAATGTATTACTAAACGACAGTATTCTAGCGACAGTATTTTATGGCCTTCCAAGCGAAATTGTATTGTTGACCATTGTTGACCCCCCCCCCAAAGGCATTTGGCACCCCCGCAAATTACATATATTTTGATTTGATAGTTTCATATTTGATTATTCTTACTACTAAATTTGTAAAATTACCAATATTATGTTCTCAGATCTCGCCATGCAGGCCTAGAAAACAAATTTTGTTAAACTTTTTCCTTGGCCTTTCCGGGCGTTGCCACCACGCCCGGCCAAAGCAAGCAGCAGCACCTCAGATATTTATCCCCCGAATGAAAATATGAAAATCCGTCTCTGTTGTTGACAAAATGCTCAAAATTATTAAACTTATTCAAATTATGAAAAATGCAGTACGTTTCGTCGTTTGATCCTTCACTTTGGTACCGTTGGTTTTCTCATTTTCGGCCGTATACCAGTAGTTCGTCTCACTTCTCTCTTCATTTTAATTAATAGTATTTTGAGCCCAAAAACCCCCCAATATTTTACTGTTTTGAACGTTTAAAAGCGCAGTTTAATCCTAGCGTACGGACCAACTGGCGGCTGATCAGAGTCTTGTATCATGTACAGTAGTAATGTGCGTATTTGTATAGCCCTAGACTCGGGTTCAGGTCCGTCTCTCAACTCTCAAGGGGTTGAAAATAGCGATGCACTCTATAAAAAAGGTGCGAAAAGCCGAAAATATGAGAGACGGACTTCAACTAACCTGAAGTTCAGGCCCTAACCAAGTCTAGTATAGCCCCAGCGAGTTAACGCTCCGCAGAGCGTCTTGTTAACTATATATTGGAGAGGTTGCACGAAAATATGGGTAATATGATTCTTTGCAGTTTGTCATGGATAATGTAGCCGCTTAAAATTAATCAATTGTCAGTTTTCTAAAGGTATATAATTTAAATGATAAAGGTCTGCATGATTTTGAAAAAAGAATGATTTATATTAGCAAATTATTGGGAAGGCTCACAGCTTGCAGCCTCAGAAGTAATAAACCGAAAAACACTTTACCCCGATTTACGATTTGTTAAATGTTATCCATGTAAATGCCATGATTTCGTAAATCAGTTTATACTGACAATACAATTATATTATATTTTCTCTGTTTAACAACTAAATTTTGTTATACTACTATTGCTATAATTTTCCGAATGGCCAACCTGGTTTTCCGAATATGTTAATTCTAAAAAAGTTGGGTGGTTAACCAACCCCCCCCCTATACCCCCATCGCTACGGCCCTGGGGCCCATTTTCCTTGCCCTCCCCCAGGATAGTATACGATAGCCGAAGGTGTGAGCCGAGTACCGCAGGCAAAAGTTAGCTACGGGGGTCTGGGGGCATGGCCTCCCAGGAAAATTTTAAACTGTGGGTCTCTGAAATAGAATTTTCTGCATTCTGAGAAGACATTTTTTTAAAAATCTCAGCTTTTCAAAACAAAGTTCTAATGGTGAAATTTATAATAAATTGCATGCTAAACATTCAAACACAACAGAAGTTTAAGTATGCTCACCAACAAATTTTGTTTTTTAAGCGTCTTTTCAATGTTAAACTCGTTTACTCAATACAGATCCTAGGGCCCTGGCTTTGGGGCAATAGGCCATTTTTTTTCTTCAGTGGTGGGGCAGAGGAAGGGGCCCAGTGGGGCAAATGCCCCACCACTCCATGGTATTAAAAAATGCCTTGCCGAAACCTACAACGCATATCAACACAATACATTCAACTGAAAGTAAACTGCAATGATAACTTATGATTCGTTGAATTCCAAGCCGACGCGCGGGAAAATCAATTTTGAAAAGGACTGAGGAGAGTTTCGAGGAGTGAGAAAAATTCAGTATAATTAGTATTAGCATGAAGGTAGCTAGCATGTATAGTTGGGGGGAGGGGGTGTAACTAACGCAGCCTTTCCATTTTTTGAACATTAAATAACTGTGCTGGTTTTCTAAATAAATTTAAGGACATACCTTCACTATGTGAATTTGACAAACCTACATATATATAAACTTAAACAACTATTCACACACATACCTCACGTTGACGAATATTATTTAACAGCGATGTTAATATATGGTTCTTATCCATATCAATAATAAATCACTAAAATATTTGATCGTTCATCACTACTTCAACACTTATACTGTTCACTTCGCCGTATTCAGCGCTTATACTCTACAAACTGAGCCCACATAACCACATTCATGTTATGCATAATCAGATTAATTAATTAATTCGGGCAATTGGACCCTACAGGGGGTGTAAGCCAAAAATTTCCGAATGACGAAAAAATTTCCGAATATTTCATGGCATACGAAGCCATGAAGGTGTTTGCAATCCGGAAAATGAAGAAGCAATTTACAAACAAAAATACGCATATTTTATGCACAGACACATTACAGTAGCATGCAGTGCCATAGAAAGCTCTTTTTGATTGGGGAGCTGAAAACGAGGGCCGAAGGCCCGAGGAAATTTTTAAATTTAGAGAGTCTCTGAAATGCCATTTCCTGGACTTTAGGGAGTTTTGCAGAATTCTAATGGTCAGAAAACAGCGTTTTAGTATGTCGAAATTTACAATTTGCTTACAATTTAGTAGCACTAAATGGGCGAAGGCGTATTTAATTAACTATATATTGGAGCAGTTGCAGGAAAGTATGGGTAATATGATTCTTTGCTGTTTGTCATGGATAATGTCCGCTTAAAATTTAACAATTGTCAGTATTCTAAAGGTATATTATTTAAATGATAATTAGTCTGCATGATTTTGAAAAAAGTATGATTATTAGCAAATTATTGGGAGGACTGCGTCCCCCCCCCCCC